CTCAGTGCAAATACGTCACAGCTTTCATACATATCCCTAACGACTCCTTCTTCATTCATACACACTCCTGCTCCAGAATATGAACTTACTGTAAATAATAAAAAGAAAAGATAATGTTTTATTGAACTCCTCTCATTTAATGGAGGCACCATGCATTGACGATAACTTAGTTTAGTTTCCATGGTCTTGTGCGAGAACATATTTTCTAGCGTGCACTGCACTTCCTGATTGGTTACTGAAGTTTGTATTTTTTTTCTTCGATATGACAGATTTAATATAAAGCAAGTTAGTGCCAGTATTACATGCTCTATCACTAGTGCTGAGATTCTATATTTTATCATTAGTGCTGAAATTCTACCTTCTATAACTAGTGCTGAGATTGTATGCTCTGTCCCTGGTGCTGATATTACATTCTCTTTCACTAGTGCTGAAATTCTATCCTCTGTTACTAGTGCTGAGATTCTATCCTTTGTCACTAGTGCTGAGATTCTATCCTCTGTCACTAGTGCTGAGATTATATGCTCTGTCACTGGTGCTGAAAGTCTATCCTTTATCATTAGTGCTGAAATTCTAAACTTTATCACTAGTTCTGAGATTGTATTCTTTACCACTAGTGCTGAAATTATATCAGCTGTCACTAGAGAGAAGATGATATGCTCTATCACTAGTGCTGAGATTATATGCTCTGTCACTGGTGCTGAAAGTCTATCCTTTATCATTAGTGCTGAAATTCTAAACTTTATCACTAGTTCTGAGATTGTATTCTTTACCACTAGTGCTGAAATTATATCAGCTGTCACTAGAGAGAAGATGATATGCTCTATCACTAGTGCTGAGATCTATCCTCTATCATTAGTGCTGAGATTCTATAATCTGTCACTATTGCTGAGATTATATGCTAGATCACAAGTGCTGAGATTCTATCATCTGCCATTACTGCTAAGATCCTATTTTCTATCACTAATACTGAGATTCTATCCTCTGTTACTAGTGCTGATTCTTTCCTTTGTCACAAAGAGAGTCTAACCTGTATCACACGTGCTGAGATTAAATGCTCTATCACTAGTCTAAATTCCTATCCTATATCACTAGTGCTGAGATTCTATCCTGTCACCGGTGCTGAGATGCTCTATCCTCTATCACTAGTGCTGAGATTCTTTCCTCTGTCCTTAGTGCTAAGAATGTATACTCTATTACTAGTGCTGAGATTTTATCCTCTTTTATTAGTGCTGAGATTCTATTTTCTATCACTAGTGCTGAGATTTTATCATCTATTCCCAGTTGCTGAGATTCAAGTCTCTTTTACTAGTGCTGAGATTATATGCTCCATCACTAGTGATAAGATTCTATCCTATCTCACTAGTGCTGCGATTATATGCTCTATCACTAGTGCTGAGATTCCATTCTCTCACTAGTGCTGATATTATATGCTCTTTCACTAGTTCTGAGACTGTATCCTCTGTCAATAGTGCTGATTCCTTCCCTTATCACTAGTGCTGAGATTTTAACCTGTATCACACATGCTGAAATTGTATGCTCTATCACTAGTGCTGAGCTATCCTGTCACTAGTGCTGAGATTCTATCCTGTCACTATTGCTGAGATTGTATTTGTTATCACTAGTGCTGAAATTCTATCCTCTGTCATTAGTGCTAAGATTCTATTTTTTATCACTAGTGCTGAGATGTTATCCTCTATTCCCGGTTGCTGAAATGTAATTCTCTTTCACTAGTGCGGAGATTATATGCTCCATTACTAGTGCGGAGATTATATGCTCTATGAAAAGTGATAGGATTGAATCTTATCTCACTAGTGCTGCAATTATATGCTCTATCACTAGTGCTGAGATTCTATTCTCTATCACTAGTGCTGAGATTATATGCTCTATCACTAGTGATAAGATTCTATTCTATCTCACTAGTGCTGCGGTTATATGCTCTATCACTAGTGCTGAGATTCTATTCTCTATCACTAGTGCTGAGATTATCACTAGTATAACTAGTACTGAGATTCTATGCTCTATCATTATATGCTCTAGAGATATTGCAGAACTAATTAGTAAGGGGAATGGAAAACATTAGTTAT